ATGAGTTCGCGTTCAGCGCTTAGTTTTGGACGGCTGTTACAAGGGCTTTCATTCTGTTATGTAGTCCTCCTCTTGCTGATAGCAAGTTGAAGCTTTGATTGATGTCCACGTCTTCAGCGAGTTTCCGAAAGTACTTTCCATGAAGCCCTCCGCTCCTGCAACCGTTATATCTGAGGTTCTTTCTTTGTTCCTCACGAATTTCTGCATGCACAACTGATCACTGTTCTAAGTTGTCCAGGTCAACGCCCTATGTTTCCTCGTCGTTGCCAGATATCGCCTTAGGAATGAGTTTGTGGCTCGAACGGATCTTTGACGCTAAGAAGGGTTTCGTCCTTCTTTACACACCACAGTGCTGCTTTTCGATGTACGATCCCGTATATATCCAATATCTTTCGTACTCTTTTATGTAATTTTAGCCTTTTCGTTTGCATCCATTCGATGATGCCTCCTATATAAGTCAACACTGGTATCCTATGATGGTAGATGGCCCCAATTTTGTTCCGTCCACGCAATCTGCTCTTCAGTACTCAATGCCTTTTCCTTTCGTATTTGGTCTTTATCATTAATTTCATTTCTTCGTGTAATATATCATCAAGTTTTAACACACCCACGTATATACGACAACTGTCCTTTATCAACGCTGTTTATTCGACCGTTTTTTAGCGTACTCCGTCGCTTTCCCAGATCTTCACCTTCCTAATCTCCACCGTGGCCTCGTTATTCAATCGGATTTCATCCTGATATCTTCTGAAAAGATTCGTGAACTTCTAATCAAATTATTAAGTCCTATTTCCCATCTCGCATATGCATTCAGGTGGTCCATGTCCAAGAGATACGGTATTACTCTACAGTATTTCAATTTATTGTTTCCTAGTGTTATTCAGCAAATAGCCGAGTGCATTCAATACCAGACTAAATAGAAGCGACGCGATTGAACCGCCCTGGAAGATTTGTCGCTTGATCTCTACCGATCCCAAATACACTTTCTTGCATAGCAACGTTGTTCGCCACTGGTTCGAAGATATTTGTTAGTCCGTCGTTGAAGATGTAAAGTCTCAGGATCTAGCTACGTGGCACTAGATGAAATGCCTTCCTGGCATCAATGACCATGGCCTTGTTGATCTTACTCATTTCATAATCCCAACGTAGCGTCTGGTCCTTGGGTCCCCTTGATTTCTTCCGCACAGCCTCTTTCTTCATGAAGTATGACGTTGTTCTCCTGGAGATACTCGTGATCCGCATTAGCCAATACAGTGTCAGTACTTTCCCGTCGTCGGAAGGCATATGATCATGTGTCTCTCCTTTCGTTAGCCAATAAGGTTGTCTTTTCTTCATGCACTTTCTGCAAGAATTCGTGAAGGCAAAGAAGTAAGCTGTCCGGGCCACAACTCGTACATCTGATCCGTTCCTTGCGTTGCATAGTCTTTCCATCTTTCTTCGCGCTTCGCTCTGTTCTTTTCGGTAATTATGACCTCTATTCGTTCAGATATTCCATTTGTGTTCTCTCGTTTTTCCATCACCCACTTTTTGTGGCCTCTGTCAACTCCAATATCCTTCTTCAGAACCGAAGCGATTGTCCTGCAGTTTCCATTCGGTCTACTCAGCACTTACGGCTTTGTTCCTTCCCTGCAGTTTTCGACAATAAGCTTTATCGTATTTTTGTTTTGCCTCTGTTTTTTTCGAGCATTTTTTCATGTCTGTTCTTCATTCTGCCAAATCACTGTGGTTCTTCTTCTTTTACAGAAATTGGCTTTCGGTTTCTTCGTCATCACGTGTATCACAAAATTGATGGATTCCAAATTATTAGTTGGCTTCTTGATTAAACAGCACCATATAGAATTTTTAACCAGACTGGGTTTTGCTATTAAGG